CCCCCCCCCCCTCACAATGTGCAATTACTTCGATATCTTCGTGTCGCGCGATAGCGCGCTATCGCTGTACATACTGCATACGACGGGATTGAAAAGTTTAATAACGTTTCACCGTTTAATTCACGGACGCACATCGGCTTTGTATTATTACGGGGACTTTTCTCTCTCTCTCTCTCTCTCTCTCACGCGTGCAGAGCGAGCGACGAGTGTCAAACCAACGACTAACGCAGCGGTAACGAGATAAATATTGATTCGCCGTGTGCTCATCTCGCCGCAATCACACAATTAACGCTACTAACTCCCCCCTCCCCCCCTTCTCCGGTCGTCCACGAAACGCGGATGCGTGTACGCGATTCGCTAATTGCGACAGGAATAAAAATACTTTGTTCGCGCGCCGCTCAAAGCCGCCGCCGCCGCTGCGAATCGACGGTGATTTCACACGTCGCGCATATATATATTCATGTATTCTAACTGTTTGCGGGGAAAACAGTTTAATTAATAACCCAATTTCCGTCACCACGCCCATACACGTATACACGCCGCATACGACGCCTGCACATGCATGAACAATCGCGCTCGTTTGTGTCCCGCGACCCGCCCGCATAGAAAATTTTTTGGGATCTAATTGGGGGGGAAGGACTTCGGACTTCCCAAGGCCGATTTCCTAAAATGAATTTTAGTTGGGAAATCTACGAAGATTCTAATTAAAGAAATGTAATGTTTCAAACGCACGATTCGAAGGGGGAAACACAAACAGTTCCTGTTCAGCCACCTCCAACGTTCTCTCGAAGATTGTTTCTGGTTTCCATTTTAAACTACGAGATTGAGCAAAATATACGAAACACTTGAAGTAGTTGTAATTTACACTTTACGCGCGCGCTATCAAATACATATAAGGTGCGTTCCGGTACTCGCTGTGCAGTAATGAAAATCTACAGTATGCGTAACATAAACTCGACTTTTAGTATCGGCAGTGAATTTCGGAACGCAGCCGTGGTAATATTAAAATCTGGGATATAACTGTATAAACTTGGGGATAGCTGTGGATATCCCAATTGAAATCTGTGCTGTATGCGGGGAAATTTCTGGGAAAATTTCTATGCGGGCCTGGAAACGTGGGATTTCGTCGAACTCGAGCTTTGCAATGACCGCAAGTAGTCTAGCCGCGCGCTTGTCCGGCGAGAGAGCGCGAAGGGACGAACGTCGAATTGAACGAACTGTGGACAACCGATCTTTCACTCGAAGAGACGCGGACACCGTCGGCGACGTCGTCGACGCGACGACGATGAGCGAACACGATGACACACGCGTAGCCGATAGCCGGTAAAAAGAAAGTGCTGACCTAAGGACGGGAAAGCAAGTCCCGACGGAACATTATGCCGGACAAAAATCCGGGACAATGCCGAGATGGACAACGCGACAAAGATTTCCTCGCCGGCGAGATCTCATCCATCGGCATGTCGCTGCGGCCCAGCGGGAGCGCATCCTCCGGTGAGTAACCGCGAGAACGATCGTCGTCGTTCCGGTTGTCACGTCGGAGACACTCGGAGTTGGACCTGATCCGCAGTTGTGGCAATTCGTGCTGCGAAAGCCCCGAGGGCTTTCACACGCGAGTTGACGTAACTGTAAACGCAAGACGTACAAGCTTAAACTGAAGAACCAATCAAAATATTGCTTTAGGTTCGTGTATCTTCGAAAGAAGATGGAAATGACTGTGTAATTGGGATTGAGGCTGTGTCATTTATTTTTTAGATCCTTAAATTCTGCGGATTTTCCGCTTAAAAGTATTCAGTGAGATGAAGTATTCGCGATAATTTTTTTTCGGGTCAAAATAATTGCCGCTAGCTTGTGCGATTTTCCGCCATTTCCCAGGCAAGAGTTGGATCCCACGGCGGTAGAATGACGGCTCCTCGGAGCGAGAGAATTTGTTAACCCGATCGCCCTCTTTGTCGGCATTTCGGAAGCGCTGTCCCTTAAGGCCTTAAGGTCGTAAGGAACGGAACAAGTGACGGTCCGAAGGCTCACTGTCCGTCTGGATAGCGTCAAACGGAAGTCTATCAACTTTCCGTCAAATTCACAATGTTTTCATATCGGAATTAGGGCTTTCGATCCGTTTTCCGAATACGGTATGTTTAAATGTTTAGCGCGTAACTCCGTTTACAGAAACACGCCTCATGGGAACCGTTTTGATTTAACTAAACGTTTAATCGTTTAAACTGCGATACGTGCATATTTGATAACAATGCAACGCAACTGTTTACACGATTACAACGAGCATAACTTTGCATAACTCATCGCGAAAAGAGAAAAAGCATATACGCGCGGTGTGATGTCATTGTTGATTGTCTCCCTTGTCTCGTATAAACTAATAAACGAACGAACGGATGAACGGATTCAAAGTTAGCAAACAGATTTACGCGTTCAAAAGTACGTGTAATAGTAGATCGGAATATTCACAGCGATCTCTCGTCATCCCCCACCCCCCCGTCGTCCTAATGAAAAACTATTGGAGAATAGCGTTTCCGACGCAAGATTAACGAAGTTAGTGAGAATCAATCTTTGAGCATTGATGACAATGATTTCGGGCTGCGCCTTTTGCGCAGAAATTACGTTATAATTTAGAGCAAAAGACTGAAGGTTTGCCGCGCCATTTACAGATCGGATCTTAGAAAAAGACCAAGACTTAACGTCTGGAGTCTCGCGTTCAACGCTGCAGGCTGTTTAATTAATTTGCGTAATTATAATTTATTGCGACGATCGCATGAATTGATAACAGAGATATTACCATCGCGATTAATTCGTTCGATCGTTAACGTGTCGACCGCTACGCGGTCGACTTGGACTCCTTCAATTGTCGCAACAGTTTCCTCACGACGTGGCCGTTAGTGACAATTTCTTTGTAACTCTTGCGACCCGCGACGCATCTCGTCAGGTCTCTCCTCGCCTTCGCACAGTCCTGCGGAACGTGCAAGGGATAAGACTCAGCGGTGGTCAGACCGGTGCGAAGCTGATTGAACAGATTGAAGATGACGCATTCCTTCATGAAGACCTCGGAATCAGCCACTTTGCCGTCGCTCGCGGCGCAGAGCCACAGCAAACTGTCCAGCCAGTCCTCCTCCCCGCGTTCCTCGGTTTTGTAGCTGATGCCCAGATCGTGCAGCCACAGCGTCAACTGGAATACAGAAATTCGGATACCAGTGCTGCCATTCAGTCACTTAAAGCCACCTTTTCTCGACAAGTCACGAAAAATTCACTTTCCTCCGAAACGAGTTACTATTTTGATGTCTAAGAGGTCACTATTTGTCACCTATTTTGCTAAAAAACAGTCATTGTTTCACTTTTTTTTTGTATCGGTGACTGAATGACAGCTCTAGAATACGTCTGCGAAGGCAGCTCCGTGTCGGCATCGAACGTGTCGTTGATAACGCGAGAGAAGCGTCAGAACGGGACGTCGGCATCCGGTCAGATAGTCGTGAGCGGCAATATACGTGATTGAAATATTATTATCTACGTTCACGCTCCGTCGTCTCGCAACGACAACCTTATCGATTCTAATTGAAGTTACTTGTGTGATTTTCGACCTTACAAAGTAAAATCAAATATGTATGTATAAGGCTGAAAATTGTAATTTTCTGTCTAGAACAGCGTACATGACACTGACTATAACTTCGCTCCCCGAGAAATTTAGACAGCGACGTTCCGTCGCGCTGACGCTCGAGAATGCTCGAGATCGACGGTATGTTTTTTTTTCTCGACGAGGGAGTGCGATAAAATGCATCAGCTTACCGTGCCGCGACACCGGAAAGTGAAGGGATTGCCGGAGAAGCGAAACTTCTCGAGACCCGCCATCGACATGAGCTGGGCCGGTTCCAAGCATGTCAAACGATTCTGCCTGAGGTCGAGCCTCTTGAGGCCTCGCAATCTCTGGAAGACCGTCGCCTCGATCAACGTGATGTGATTGTACGAGAGATCCAGCTGCTCGAGAGACGGCAAGCCAACGAACCACTGATCCCTCAGCAACGTTATATTGTTGTACGGCAGACTAAGCTTCTTCAAGCCCGACAGACCGTCGAAGGCGTAATCGAAGATCGTTCTGATGCCGCAGTCCTGCATATTCAAGGACACCAGGCTCCTACCGTGCCTCATGAATGACCGTTCAGGAATACTCTCTATCCGTGACTGGAAGACCATGATGTCATCTATGTACGACGACGTTCCATAGTTTAAAACGGTGTCCAGAGTCACGTTGAAGCATTTCAGACGCTCGAAATTTCCTGCGAATGATATTGATTCTTCGTTGATATTAACGTTTCTTTCTGCTTCTTAGTTTGGCGCACTGGGCCCTAATAAGACCTAGTAATTTTTCTAACATGCATTCTTACTTCAATATCTATAAGTGTATCTACAAGTATAAGACTCGCTGTCTTGCGTTTTGTCCGAAATTCTCGCGAAATGCGTAATTTCTATGCGATAAAATAAGCCGGGTGAGTCTCATTGTCAACGGAGTCGCAGAATGAGGGGTGTTTCGCGAAACTGGCGAAAATCTGGGGCGTTCTCGTTAAAATATCGCGGCGCAGTCTCACCTTCCCCGTGCTTGTTGGTGATGCAGGCCGCGATCGCGGTGCTCCCGAGAACGGAAATGCAGGCAAGAACGAGAAACTGGAGTCGACACATCGCGAAACGCGTGCGACGCCCGGCCGGTTGTTTTACGACTGGCTATCCAGCCGAAAACGGATGCGCGAGGATTGCGAGCGATTCCTCCCCCGCCGAATTATCACGACCGACGTTTCCCGTTTCTCCGCGAACGATACCGTCTTATCGGTGAAACAATTGTTACGCAAATATCGCGGATCCATATCTCACTGATTGTGAAAAAAAAAGAACGTTAATTAGAGCGATATCCTCGTCTGGACATTCATCGTGCTGATAGGACATCGCGAAGAAACGAATGTCGTCGTTGACATCGCGAGACGATTACGATTTTAATTATAGCTTTAAAGTTACGGGAAAATACTTTTCTCTATTTTCCCTCCTTGATTTCTGTCCTAAAGATACGAGAATTTGTTCAGAAGAATTCACAAGCCTGCCGCGTTTATTTATTCCCGCCAAGAAGATGAGAAATCAAAAGAATCCGTGGAAAAATGGAAGGAAAACCGTTTTTCTCCGAAACTTTAGAACCATAATTTTAACAACGAGTTTCGTTTAATTACGATAAGATTTTGTGATATTTCCGAGAAACGCGAATTCGTCACTTCGTCCGAAAATGTCCGAGACGTTTCCTCGTTTCCGATGTTCGAACGATCAATCGCGAACGTCTAGCTGCCTCGTCGAAACGAGAGAATCGCTGGAACCCGTGTGGATGATTTTTTTTTCTCGGTAGGCATCTCGACCCTCGCGAGTTGCGGCGAGGTCGACGCGTTGCCGGAGCTCCCGGCACAGGATGAAGAACGCCTGCAGCGCGCTGCACGCTTGCTGCAGCAGAGGCTGGTGCTACGTCAATGGTTGACGGATCATGGCCTACACAGCTATTATCAAAAGTAAGATAAAGCAGTGCCAGTAATAGGGAACCCTACATTGAAGGATGAGTTTGACTGGATCTGCTCCTGATAACGGACAGCTGAGCACATTTTTTGGTTGAAAGAAGGAAATAGAATTTCGAATTTTCGCAAACCAAATTTGGTTCTAATAACCAAAAGAATTCTGTTTCTTTCGACCAAAGCGCATTTGATTTTCCACTGTTAAGTATACCGACCAAACTCAATTTTCGGTGTATAGCTAATTAGTCGTAGACAGTTAATCGTTATTAATCATCGATATACTCGTGGCTTCTTCTATGCTTCCGTGTCCTTTATTTTTATCTACGTTGCAGCTACACGAAAAAGCAAAGAGGTTAGTCATCAATTCAAGGCTCGTATTCTCATATATATGCAAGAATATGCAATATTATGTGAAAGTAACCGATAGCATTCTTAAAAGGGGAAGATATCGTTCTTCCTATTCTATTCGTCGAAATAATGACATCTGAGCGCGATCGCGACGGAGTCGGAAAATGTATATATATGCTCCATCAGGTTGATGCAAATGGAAGTGATGTCCCTGGAGGATGTATACTGGGTGGAGGACAATGCGGCAAGAGCGGCTCTTGGCAAGGATCTACCGCGGTGGATACAGGCCAGACAGACTCTGCCTATCTCGAAGGAAGATTTGGAAACCCTTAAAGCGGATCTGTGGAGCGCCGTGGTAAAGAACAGTCAACACCAGGACGCTTGGACATGGGGTACTCCACGTTTCTTCTTCTCTCTGTTCTATTTAACTGCGAAAACGCAGTCCTCTCTCTCTTTCTCTCTCTCTCTCTCTCTCTCTCTCAGCAACGAATTCGCCGTTGGATATATACTCGCGACGTCCGACGGAACAGTAGTTGCGATTTCGAGCGGAAGCGAGAAAAAGAAAGAGAGAGAGGGAGAGGAAAGAACTTGCGATCTTTGCGGAAACAAAATAATCACGATCTCCCGTGGATGCCGCTGCACGTTCGTAATGTTTGCGCATTAGTCGGGATTTCGCTCTGAAACGTTTCGTTTGCGCACAGTCGGTCTAAGAGAGAGAGAGAGAGAGAGAGAGAGAGAAAGAGAGATCGCGCTACCGGATCGAGAGATGTTTTACCGAGCGTTTGCCGAGAGACATTAATTAAACTGGCAAAACTAACAAATACCCCTTCATATCCGCCAGGCGGTATGCTGGTAGTTTCCGTGTCGGTAGCGGGGCTGGTTACCCTGGCCGCTATGACGCAGCCCGCTCTGGCGCCCGAAGCGAAACACTCACTTCTGCAGTACGTCACAGGGAAATATTTATTGCCGAGTAACTGCCGCGTTCATTTCGAGTGGGAAGAGCCCCAGCTGGTTGGCGAGACGATGACTTTTACGGTCAAAGTAAGTAAAACGGCCGGCGGGATCAGGTGTTTGCGTTCGCGCGTAAAACGACCGCGGCGGGGAAAATAGAATGAATAAAACAAGAAATAGTTTCGAACGGCGGCGCGAGACGCGATCTCTGGCTCTCACGGCTGATAAACGAGCCGGTCGCGCGACGATTCACACCCGAAGGCGATAATTTAATAAAGCGAAGCACCAATGCGCGCCTTGATGTAATTCACGAGACCGTGCGAGGTGTCAGCCAGTTTTTTAGCTCATTGAATATGTATAATGCTGCCATCACACTATGCAAAATAATACAATACGTAGTACAATTCTAACAATATGAGACAGAGAATGATAAATGACAATTTATGAATTATTTGGCCGCAGGATAAAACTGCGTTTGTGTCGAGGCGAAGCTTTAAATTGGCCAAGAAGTGTCTTAGACCGGACGTAAGGAATCATCGTACGTAAATCTATTTGCAGTTTTATCAGCGTAACGGTCAGCCGTATCCGATATGCGACAAAGACAACTTGATCGTGGAGGTGACGGAGGACCCGCGCCGAGTCGCCACGCTGATCGAACTGGGAGGCACCGACCCCTTAGCCGCGAACACCGCAGTGGTGAAGTTTACCGTCCGCCATGCGGGACAATACCGAATAGCCGTACTTATCGGATCGTGTCACGTTCACGGCAGCCCGTTCCTCAAGAATTTCCTTCCCGGTAGCGTAACTTCTCACTGTCGCGATCCCTCGTGTACGTGGCCGCAACGTCATCCTGACGCGCGCCCTCGTTCGTTTCGCAGGTCCTCCGGATCCTAACAAGACGGTGTTTGTACGGCAAAGTTCTACTGTCGTCTTTAGAGCTGGCATAGTGCACACGATGAAAATAGAGCCACGCGACGAGTATGACAATCTGTGCATATTTGGGCCCGGAGATCTGCCTACGAAAGGTTATAACGTCAATATTACTGAGGTAAGAAGAAAAGGAGAAAACGACGGATGGATTTTCTTTCTATCCATATCTTGCGCCCAATAAAATATTATTATTATATTAATTGAACGAAATATGCATGCATATTGTTTTTTCCGTTCGTCGTACTTCCTACGTTTTCTCGTAGATTAGGCCATTCCAAACAAAAAATAAAAATACTTCGTCACTTTACATATAACAAATCTTGGAGCTATCAATTAAACAAGCCTCTACACACCATTTTCAATAATTAGTAACTCGAAAATCTGGCGAAATGTCTTGCAAGACGGTATATGTTCACTGTGTGATCGTGAAATCTCTGTCCCGCAGATCGGTAACACAGCGGATAAAGGAACTATGATACACTGCACTATAGACCATACTATCGAGCTCGACTACGACTGTCCGAATAAAAGGATTCGGCTGAAAGTGAGTTTCCCGGTGGGCGGGTGTTACCATGCGACCGTCACTTTAGCGGGGCTGAAACTGCACAACGGGGACTTCGATATTATTGTGCTCGAGAGTACGTAGAATACTTGAGAAGGCTCGTCGATGACGATTAATAATATTATGTCGAAAACGAAATCCCGCGTGTTTCACGCATCCCTCCCGTTGCGCCAGGTGATGACGCGCGAAACGTGCATGATCACGTAACTTTGAAGAACCCCGCTTTTTGTTACGGCGCGAAACTGCTGGGCATGCAGGGGGAAAAGTTCTCGAAGCCGAAGAAAGTCTTCTGCTTCATCTCGCCTAAGCAGCTTACGATTAAGGAACACGTGTTGAAATTCTTCCACAAGAGACTCGTGACGTTTCGACTGTGCCCGTCGACCAAGGTAACAGTACGGTTGCTGACAAACATGAAATAAGTAAGACTACCGGTCCGACACTAACACGATCCCGTGATCCATTAACGACGGTTTTAGTTCCACTTTGAGAATTCGATTACCCGACACGAGGGCTACCATCGCTTCTCGATAGACGACGGATGCCAACCGCCCGTCGAACTAATATCCGCGTACCGCGACATAATAGTCGCTACGTTCACCTTGTTCCTCCTGAAAAACATCGGCGGCAGCGAGACCTTCGCCGACAAGCAAGACTTTTTCTATCACGAGGTCCGCAAGCGCCATCAGAAGAATGATCACGAGAAACTGCCGATGAAAGTGCAGCGTGATAAACTGCTGGAGTCGGTAAATACGAAGTGCAGCCTGCTGTAATATCCACGCGCATTTCAAAACGCACGTGTTAATCGCATTCTTTCCCCCCTTCCGTGTGTTCAAGTCTATGAAAGCTACCAAAGTATTTTCCTTCATCGAGTGGTGCCGCAACTTCGAGATTACCTTCCAAGGCGAGCAAGGTACGTTGCGTTTCCTTATCCCGGCGATTTTCCTTCGTCTTCGCGAGAATCGATTTATCGAGAGACGAGATTGTTCATCAACCGTCTCGCGGCAGGCGTCGATTGGGGCGGTGTGCGGCGCGAATGGTTCGAATTGATATGCGCGGCCCTGTTCGACCCGGGAAACGGCCTGTTCGTGTCGTTCGGCGAGTCGCAACAGGCACTGGTGCATCCCAACTGCAAACGGCCTCCGGAACTGAAGTTGAAGCACTACGAATTCGCCGGCCGTATCGTCGGCAAGTGTCTCTACGAGTCCGCGCTCGGCGGCTCCTATCGTCAGTTGGTGCGCGCGCGATTCACCAGGTCCTTCCTTGCGCAGATTATAGGACTCAGGGTACACTACAAGGTAACACACACACACACACACACACACACATATATCTGAGTACTCTCTCGCCTCTCCGTGCAAAATTCACGAATTCACGAGACGGACATAGCGACCAATGTATACCTGTTTTATGGCTTACCAGTACTTCGAACAAGACGATCCCGACCTGTATTTGAGCAAGGTGAAGTATATCCTCGAGAATGACGTCGAGGAAATGGAGCTGTACTTCGTCGAGGAGGAATACGACAATGACGGTCAATTGTTGAAGGTAGAGATCGCATCTACCGGCAATATTACGAATGACGTTCACGATGCTAGGATCTCGATTCGAATTGTCGACGGGATATAAAAATTATTATTGAAGTAACTTTCTAATACCTTTCGAGCGTCTACCAACATAAGAACTCGAATCGAGATCCAGCAGCGTGGACACTGGCTTTTGCGGAGCGAAGAGTAAACTCTGTCGGGTTTCAGGTGGCGGAATTAATTCCCGGTGGCAGCAAAGTCCGAGTGACTAACGACACCAAGCTCCGTTACCTGGACGCCCTCGCTCAGCACCGGCTGGCCAGTTCCATTCGCAACGAGGTCGATCACTTCCTGCGCGGTCTTAACGAATTAATTCCCGACAACCTCTTGGCGATATTCGACGAGAATGAATTGGAGGTGCGTGAGTTTATCCGATTAATTCTTCATTTTGGATCACTCAATGTACCATCTATCTATCTATCTCTATTTGTTTATCTGTCTATTGATCTGATGGATTGATTGATTTATCCGCTCGTTTTTCATCCGTTCGCAGTTGCTGTTATGCGGCACCGGCGAATACAGCGTGGCGGATCTGCGCGCCCACCACATAGCTAACGGGAGTTCCCCGGAATTTCTCCGAGTCCTCGACTGGTTCTGGACGGCGGTGAGCAACTTCACGCAGGAGCAGATGGCACAGCTGCTCCAGTTCACCACAGGCTGCTCGCAGCTGCCGCCCGGCGGCTTCCAACAGCTCAGCCCGCGTTTCCAGATCACGGCGGCGCCGACGTTCGCTAACTTACCTACGGCACACACCTGGTACTACTCTCCCATTCTACTTTCTACCGCTACGTGTGCTACTTGCACCATTTATTTATCGCTGGAGTTTAACGCCAATGTCTCCTCGCAGCTTCAACCAACTCTGCTTGCCTGACTACGAGTGTTACGATCACTTCGAACGAGCCTTGCTGTTGGCGATCACTGAGGGCACCGAGGGTTTCGGCATGATCTAACCGGAGAACCTGTCCAGAACCCATTGCACCTCTAGTCGAGTCTAGTTAGAACGACATTGTTGATTAAAGTAATTATTTATCCACCTTCCCTTTGATAGTGAGAACAAGAAAAGACCATAGTCCTTCTCGGAAAAATAGATCCTGTACGAATCTGTCCCGCCTGGCGGCCCGCCCGATCTATGGCGGCGTCGAGAAGCGAAGGCGACTCTCTCTCTCTCTCTCTCTCCCTCTCTCTACATATATATCGCACGTTTTGATATGTAACCGATTAGAACTTTTGGACGTTTACTTTCTTTGTTTACGCCGAAGACTATCAAGAACAATCTAATCTTCCGACCGGTGTAGAGGACGCAGTTCTACCGTGCCGCGGCGACGTTTTTTATTAAAAAAAAAGAAAAAAAAAGAAACGAACGGAGGATATTCTTCACAAGAGCAATGTTACCTCAACATCAAAATTGCTCAATATTATCGTATCGAGATCTTAGCGTAGTAGCCGAGACTCATGATAGGTTTTAACAAAAGGAAAAAAAAATGGGGGGAAAAAAAGGTAAAAACGTGTAAATTACGTCGACGCGCGTCTCTTCTCGAGCGACGACGTCTGTAGCCGCGACGTCCGTAATAATGACATAACGACAACTGTTACATATACATAAGAAATGAAGTCGGTGCGCACTTGCCACTTGCGATCTGAGATCGTTTTTAGTAGTATTTTTCAGCGCATTCCGTTCGTCAGTATTCGTTCGTACATTCTGCCGCGAAGTAGCGATAAGAAGACCGAGGCGTTGATGATTTCTTATAATCTTGAAGAGCATAAATTCACAAAAGCGACGAATAACGAGATACTAATGTACACATTGCAGCTACTTATCGTTTACTACTCTCTCTCTCTCTCTTTCNCCCCCCCCTCCCACTCTTTCTTTCGTTCTTCTCCGTACTGTTCTTTTTCCACTTACTATTAACAGCACAGCGATTACGGTACCTTCCAATGAGGATAATGTGAGCTAATTAGCGTGTACAGCCTGTGGAAAATACAAAATACCGTATTCCGAGACGCGCTGAGATGCGTCACATTTGTTTCGCGTCGACGCGACACGCGCGATCGCCCGGAAATTGTGAGAAAACGAGAAACACCGTGCCGTATTTCGGCGGGGAAGTCAACCCGGTACTGTAAACGTTCGCATTCTGGTGTGTATTACGTAATTTATTTCAAGCGCAATGAGAACTATGTACTTACTAATTGTAAGCGTAGGACTATGTGGAAATGTAGTAAAATCGCCATAGCCATAGGCAAATTCGTTGCAAGATAAAACGAATGGCCGACGATCGCAAAGTCGTCTACTACGCCTCGCAGTAGCAAACAAACTGGCCGCCTCGCCCCCGGGATTGTCCGCCGGATCGCGCGCGGACGCGGAGTGCTGACGGTAATTTATTTTTATCAGTTTATCGTGTTGCGCGATGGAATCTAAGAATATAGAATTAATAAAACCAGGCATGTAACCAGCCCCACTGTTTATTCAACGGATCCCGCCGTAAGCTCCGTCCGACTTACTTACATTACTTAACCTTACGCTTCCTCGCTTCCACGACACGCACATAAGAACGTACATAAGAAAGGAAAGGGAAAAAAAAATAATTACTCTACAAATCCGTAGCGCCAGCCGAAATGAACGCGACGACGATCGCTCGATCTCGTTTGCGCGCGCATAAAAAAAAAAAGGTCCTCACTAGTCGAAAGTTAAATATTAGCTCGAAAAGAAAAAAAAGGATAAATAATAAAATAACGCCTTCGAATGTGGAGTACGAAAAGAAGCTGATGCACGTCGACTTTCGCGCCCCTGCTTCCCCTCGCTCTTCCTTCTCTCGCTCCGAGTTCCCCTCGTGGCAAGATTCTCCTCTTCGAGAGAAGACCGAAGTCGCTCGCTCGCTAACCGGCCGGGGCTCGTCTTTCCCCGACTAAAATCGGCCCACGCTGATCCGGAAAGTCACTCAAAGTTCGCGAGCACCTGACCTGCGTCCGCGGTAGCGATTGATGCACGTTAATAATATATAGCCGTCGGCCGTCGCAACGTCAGCGCAAGCCCACGGCGCGTTGCCGTCGACGTATTACAGCCCGCGGAATATAGAAGACATATATTCATGCTGCCACTTACCTACGGCGGTAGAGTGGCGCTGGACAGAAACGCGAAGGTCCGCAGGATTGACGCGCGCATAATGCTGCCGGCGAACTGCAGCACCCGCTTGCGCCAACCGTCCTCCTGCGACTGCCGCAATAGCTGCTCCTTCAGCTCGCTTAATTCCGTCCTGGCAATCGCATCACCGGACGTATCTCGTCATTTTCTCGGTAATTTTCGCGGTAGTTTCGTATGCGAGAAAAATTACTGTTATGCGCATCCATAGAAATGATCGACATCGCCATAACTGGAGCAAATCTTCTTGATCTCGCGTGGAAATGATGTGAGCTCTTTAAGTGAGCAAAGCTCACCGGTGGTTTAGTGCTATTAAATATGAATATTACCGGGCTATCGGCCAATTCTATCGATGCGACAGCATTCCTCTTTTCGTACGAAGCCGTGACAACTCTGCTCCCTTTCATCGAATCATTTAGTCCTTACATTTGCGAGTTGTACTCCGACTCGAGACGGAGCAGCGCGGCTTCCCGATCAGCCAGCCGGTCCTCCAGGGAGATCGCGCGCAAGCTCAAAGCCCTGCCGTTGCTCTCGCTGGACTTCAAACACCTCTCTAATCGCTGCCTCTCCGCCTCCGTGGTCCGCAACTCTCTGATTGCGCGAAAAAAAATACATACTTGCAGAGTATTTAGGACGCTTCGTACACCGGTGGGGAGCTTAAGCGTTTCCGAATCGTCGTGTCCGCGATTGGCTTAGAATCAGGGATGCGAGGTAATGCGCGAACACACACGTACTTGGAGGTGCGTTGCAGCTCCTCCTGGGCGGAATCGACGAGGGCCATCTGCGTCGCCAGACGTACCTGGAGCTCCTCGAGGGCGGATTCCGCTTCCTCCGCGCGCGCGCCGCGATCTGCCGCCAACACCTCGCTCATCGACACCTATCGTTGCATGTTTCTTTGTGTGAGAATATGTATTCAGACGACGAGTGTATTTCTTCCGTGACCTTAAGTACAAGACTTGACCACGAATGCTGGCTCTAAAGAGCAAACTCGGCTGGTGAGAATAAGAAATTCCGTTTGATTCGATCGAGACGCAATTCGTGCATTGTCACGTTAATTCACAATCACGTACACACGACTCCCCTCCATAAAGTAATGAGCAGCATTTGGCTTGCAAATCGCGGCCGTTTCGATCGGCGGAGACACGCGAGATATTTTCGCGAGATGCAGTCTTCCGTACGACGCGATCAGCGCGTGAGATTCACTTGCTTGAGAGGCGCGCGTGCACGATCCGCAGGTACGTGTGCGAGCACCGACTACCATTATCCGCGATAATCCGCGATTTCGCGACGAGCAGGAGTTAATAGGGCAAGCGATATCGATCCCTCTTCCTGGTACGGAAGGAGTATTACGTGATATTGAGTCACCGGCGAAACGCGAAAGGTGTGACTCATCACCCGCCAAGCTATATTTCTGCCGTGCGTTGACCCGACGCCTCGCGTCGCGGGTGAATTCTAAGGGATCTTTGAAGTACCACCCGATGGGTATCGCGGTCGCACGTGACGCTATTCAGCATAATGTTGCATCGATCTCGCGAAACACGTGCGGACAGCCCACGATCGTCTTGCATGCGGCGGAGCGTAACACGCCTGCTCTCTGAGCCCTATTACAAGGCAACGTTAATCCGGTTTACTGACTACCGTAGTTACGTTCTGCCTTTATCGCTCATTACACATCGGATGTAAACAAGGAATTAGAATCTGTAACGAACGATTAAGACAGAATGTAACTACGGTTGTTATTAATTGTAAGTTAGATTAACCCATTAACTGCCAAATTTTTTTTTTTAATTTTTGGCCAGATAAATTATATATATGCACACAGAGTTGTGTTACAGTGTAATTATATTCAAATTATGTTTTGTTTCGAGCCCCAAATGGGGATCGTGGCAGCTAATGGGTTGTCGTGTAATAAGAGAGCGGTCAAGCTCAAACGAGCGGGAGGAGTGGTTTCGCACGGGGAAAAATTATTCAGAAGAAGAGCAAATTTTCTGCGCTGTCGTAGTGAGTAAATAAATGTACGTAGGCATGGAAATGGTTCAGCTGTCAAATATAATGAGAAAAGTGAGTTTCATACTTGAACAAGAAAAAACAAGAAGAAAAGAGCAAAATTATATGCTCGTGTGAATGATTTTCCTCCGTGTGTGCGTTACTTTTAAACCAGGAAAGAGACATGGAATATCCTAACATCAACCGAGAAATTTCGTAAAAATCTGCTTCCTTGATATACGGTGAATTAGAGTTAAATTGGGACAGAATGTAAATTAGATATATAAATTAAGTTTCTCTCTCTTGAAAGACAGAGAGAGAGAGAGAGAGAAGTAGTTCTAAGAGGGAGGAAATTTCCATACCCTTAATATTCAGCGCAGAGAACCCCCCCTAGCCTATACGACAAATCGGAGTGTCTCGAAATCTGGACTTATCACGACACGTGTAATTTATTCCGGGGACCGAGTCATCCTGCAGTACGAGATTAAACTATTCATGCTAAGCCGATTTGACGGCCCGAGACGGCCAGTGACAATGTCGACGACGGCTCGACAGACTTATGAAACTTTAACGGACGCGAGCCGCAGACCTCGCTGACGGCCGCTATGAGAAAGTGGAAATAGGTCAGCGGAAGATGTTACTTGACGTTGTCAAAGACGTCTAACTTCGAAAACTTCGTCTAACTTCGAAAGGGTAAAAGGGGTGAGGAAACCAAGAGAGAGAGAGGGAAAGGGAGAATGAGTCACCCACGGTTTGCGGAACGCGAAGGGAGCTCGCGCAGAAACGCGTGGGAGAGTTCACCCCCCCAGGAAGAAGAGGAGGAGGAAGAGGAGGAGGAATAGAAGGAGGAAGAGGAGGTAGAGCAGTAGGGGGAGGAGGAGACCGCAGCGTCTCGCGGCGAGCATAACAATGAGTCACCAAAGCGGATCAATTTTTCCACGGGCGCGCAATCGTGCGGATACGCTATAACGTTAGCGGCCGTTCGTGGAAATTCGCGAGATTCGTCGGCGTTCTCACGCGACGTTACTCATACAGCAGGCCGATTCGTCCTTTATAACGTTACAACGCGACCGAGAATGAGACGAGCGCGCGCGGGGAGAACCTTGTCCAGAAGGATCCTCTTGTCCTCGCGCAGCTTCAAAATTTTCTCCCGATCCTTGCTCATTTGCGCGTCGAGCGTACTCAGCTGGTCCTGTGCGGTCAGCAGCTCGTTCCTCAGGTTCCCCACGGCGACGGATCGCTCCTGGGCGACCTCTTCGACGCGCCTCAGCTCGTCCTGCAGCTTCTCCTTCTCCTACGGGCAGGCGTGTGAATGCACGCGCGATCGATAAGTGACCTGCCGCAACCGATGATGGATTTCGCGCGCGCCCCTTCGCCGTCTCCTTCGCGCTCGAGGGGCCACGAGCGACAAATAGAAGAGCCGGTGGCGGATTGAAATCAGATGGGGGGGCTCGTCTCGCTTCGTGCATCGGCGCGTTGCAAATACACGCGGCGGATTATAGCGCGGAATGCAAATCTTTTTCCGGCAAAACGGCGCTATCGTGGGCCGCGCATTCTCGCGATAACGTCATCCCCGTAGTTAGAAGCGCGTCACTAAACTCCCGTGTTCGTTGCGCGGGAACGGGGAGGACGTTCGCATCATCGGCGATGGCAAAGGCCGATATTCGCCCATCCGATATTATCGGTTAACTCATCGACACCTCGCGGCGTTAATTGAATGTTTTCGAAATGTTTGAGGGACGCGACCAAGGATCTGAATTCGAATCGGGAGCCAATGAGAAGTCACCGATCGACCGAGCGACGATTCTTATTGAATTATCAGCAGCTCCGAAAGAAAGTTGATGTTAACTAATTGAGATGTCATCGACCGTACCGATTTGACATTGTCGCGCTCCGCAATCGTCTCCTGCAACTGCGACTTCTCGCGATGCAGTTCGCCGTTCAATCGGCCGACTCGCTCGTTCTCGGCGAACAGCAATCGGCGCAGGAACTCGATCTGGAGGTGCAGATGCTCCACCTGTTGCTCCAGCTGTGCGATCTCGGCGCGTCTACGTCTCCAGGCGTTCAGTACTAACACGCGACACACCACGTTCGCCGCCCTGACCGTCGGACCGGCCGCCTCGCCCTGCTCCGACTCCGAGGAAGGCGTAACGTCCGTCCACGACCTACCGCTGTAGTAGGCGCTCCCGCCGTTCGTCAAGAGGTCTTTGGACCTGTCGGTGGCTTCGTCGGTGGAGCCACTCTCCGACCTAGCCGACCCACGTCTCCATTTAGATCACGCTGCTTGTGATCGCGACCGCAGCCGCTCGATTGTTATTTTATGTATTACATTTCGCCTGTCGACGGGATATCATAAGTTCTTCTAGTACATAAATATCGATATATTTATTTACTCATATACTGGCAAAATAATGCGTGTCTTGCAATTGGCGGAGGAAAGAGTGACTTTTCCAAGATGATTCCGAAATAAGACGAAGAAAATTCAACCGAAAGGGATCACCCGCTTTTCCGGCTATGCGTACTGCTAATCTCAGGACATTCGTTTGATACTCTTACCAGCGCGTTTGATGATGCGATATTTGAGTGATTAATATCCCGCTGATCTACATACGTTTACGTTTGTTCGTATGTATTGTTAGCTTATTATTTGCTCAAGCGTCGTGCGATTATTCAGACGTCCTAGAAACGACGACACCACGGAAGACTATCAATGGTGAAGCGTGACAACGGCAACATAGGTCGAGCGGGTTTATATTTAGCCCCTTACCGCCGATTTGGCAACGATCCTCTCATTTGTCGCGAGGAAATCTCGACTGATCAGCGACCGAGTCTTATTGCGCGCAATAACGGCCAGCATAAGGCCGAAAATTAAATCCACATTATGTTGTTCCCATTGTTAATTCCCAACGCTTAACTGCGAACTTTTGAAAAACCCTACTTGGGATACATTAATCTCATCACGCTGCGTCCTACGACAAGCTCATGGAAGTGTCTTGCCAGTCCAGTTAGAATTCTAAATGTCACGGGTAAAATATATCGCTGTTTTCTGTAACTGCTGGAAAATTGTGGCGCGTATAATTTACAGCAGCAGCATTCCAGCGATATTCGCGGGATATATTCTCAGGAAAATTTCGGCTCAGTTACTATTTTTTAACAAGAAGTATAATCGACTTGAGTCAGGACGGACTCTCCACAGAGAGACTTTCATGCTACATCGGACCAACAGTTCGGATAAAAATTCTCTCCCCCTCACCTATATTGATTACATACAACACGTGCGTGACATTGAAGCGTCTGCCAGTCGCTTATCCGTCTAAGCTAATTTCTCGCGTCCGGCTTTCGCTACGACTGCAAGAGCATTTTCTCGAGCGTGTGGCTCTCCAAGTCCGCGGAAGCGCGGTGGTATCGATCGAAGCACCGCTGATCCCGACGCGAGTGCGCGATTATTAATCGGCAATTTAATTCCACGCGAACGTTCGCATCAGCCGTGCGCACGCGATCGATGTCGCGTGCTCAGGTGTGTCGGGCAACATTGCAGCATGCGTTGCAACGCGGTGCGACGAATGCTCGCACGAAGTTCCCGAGATCGGCTCACTTGAGATCGCCGATGTCGCCGTCAGCCAGAGACAGATCCATCATCGACAGGCTCTTCTTGCAGCGGGGCGTGCCGATGGCCGAGCTCCTCCGGTCGGCGCGACCGTCGGTCGTCCGGTTAGCCACCGACAACCCGATCGCCGCCAATCGGTAGGGCCTCTTGAGCGCGCGTTGCTCGGCGCACCGATACGGGCTCGGCCGCGGGTGGCATCTTACGGGCGCCTGAACGCAGGGCAGCTTACGTTGCACGCATCTGGGGAGCTTGGTGGCGGCGACGGCGACGAGTCGCTGGCCCGCATTTCGTCTCGACAGGGTAGCCGTTTCTGGCATATCGCTCGCTGCGCTGATAAGACCGTCCGTCGGCCGGGCGATCGAGGATTGTTTGTGCGGCTTCGTCATGGGGACGGACGCGCGGATGCTGGCCGGAACAAATGATTGCGCGAGAGCGATAGCGATCGCGCCGAGATGCGCGAACGGACGCACGTCAGGCTTATTCTCTCGCGAGTAATTTGCGACTGTAATAATAATCGAGGCGATTTACGTCACGTTCTGGTTAATACGATGGACGAGTTAAGGTCGCTGTCGGTCGAGAATTACCTGCCGCATCTCGCTGCGGCGGATAGAAATTATGAATTTTTTGATTATCAACGACAAGTTTTAGATTAGGAGATTGATGCTGGCAATTTTCTTATTATTCATCGATTCAGCTTAATCTGAGTTTGGCGAGAGTCGCCTTCAGAGAACAGAGGTGAGAATTTCCGTTTTGGTATCGCTCCGCAAAATTCGGAATACTTTTAGAAAGTAGAAATTAAATGTCGCGAGGCGCAATAGAAAACACCGCACAGGCTTCACTTCCGTAGCGCAAAAATAGTTTATCTAGAAGAAGGACAATTCATTGGCCCGAGTTTATTTAACCCGAGATACGGGCATAACGCGATCTGATAGTGGCAATGGAATTCCTTACGTACGGCGATCGCAGTGCCGAGCGCGTATGACTAAACGTCGCCTTTTCTTCCTCGCTGTCTGCAGAAGTCTCATCCCGTGGATTTCAGAGCTCGGCTCATTTCGACACGTAGAGGAGATTCGCGTGTGCGTGTCAACGAATTCGTAATGGAAATTCCGGGAAAGTCCGTTCGACGATCATGCAGCGCGCGAAACGCGATTGACGCAAGCGTCTACTACTATTGCCCGGCTCTCGTTGCATCGGAGACGAAGATGCTGAGTAAAAGCGGCAAGCGGAAAATCCAGTTGTCGAGCCAGTCGCGAGCATGCATGTCGTATTACTACGGTAAACAATCGACGAGTGATTGATGAATTGTGATCAATGAAAAGCATCCGTCATAACAGGCACTCGTCCGTCCGAATGAATAGTGAATTGCCGCTTTTCATCACGCTGCTTGATCGTGATCATTATCTTGTCACTATTCATTATCGCATCCAATCGGCTCCACCAATCGGCTCGCAACGGTCGTTCCGCAAGGAGATCACGACTGGACTTTATCGATTTCTTTTGCTCTTGAGGAAAAAAAGTAGAACAATTGAATCGTTCCAGTTAATTGCGTGAGCGAGGAAACACGTTTCTAAACACCTCAGTCATAGTCCGCGTCTTTGAACCGCCGCATTAGTACGCAAAGTTATTCCGCCACATTCATGATTGAAAGCACACACGTGATCTCGACTCACGTCGTTAATAGTGAAGAGACGATAACTCTGCATTTTGTTTCTTTATCTCAGCCCGATTACGCGCGAATCTTGATTAATCTTCATTTTTGTTTACTACGGTTTTAAAGTTTCGGAAAAATACCCGTTTTTCCTCTATTTTCAGTTTTAATACTGACGATATGAAAATTTCTCCGGAAAAATTCACTTGTGCTCAATTAAAACCAGCCATACATACTTCTTTTCCATAAAGAACTGTGTAGAAGAATGGGGAAAAACGGGACTTTCTCTTTAAACCTATAATTATGTGCATTTCACATTGGTCATAGAAACATGCCAGCGATCGATCTGACATCGAACGTCGCGAAAAAGAGCGACGGTCAATTTACAATATTACAATAATTTAAAACATTAGTTGATCGTTGCACGAGCGCGCGTTCATTAAGTAAATGTCGCCGCGAGTGACCTTGCGCGCGCGCCAGCTTCTAAGAAAAAGATCGACAGAGAAGTCGAAAGCATATCTATCGTTCCATCGCGCCATCAGATGGCGCATGCGCGCAACACCCAACAACGTTCAGACGGCTCGAGCGTTGTTCGGAGGCGCGCGACGCGCCGTTCGACAGCGCTTACATTCATAAAGGTAAATTTCCCATTTTCCCCGATTACCGAACTACACGAGGGCTAAGTCGGCTCGTGTGCCAGCGAAAATTCGCGCGATCACGAGTCCCAAAGTGATCCAAGATCCGATGATTTCTCAGTCTTCGCTCGTGAGCGCTGTGAACTGCTCTTTCGAAAAGAACCCGAAACGATAGATCGCTTCGAAGCGATCCTCAAGGTAACGCACTCGTATCGATCTTTCGATTCTTTCTTTCACCGGCAAGCATTGAAGGTTAATGCCAAGTAGATACCTTGCCGCCAATAACAAAGAGAATGTTCAAAGAACAAAGAAAGGAGAATGATCCGAAGTCTCGAATCTAATGAGGAAACGAGTGGCGACGCACGGCTTATTCTCTGATGCGAGCAAGACGAAAGTTTCTGATGCCACACGAGTCCGAGAAAAGGAGGTATTATTTATTGAAAAGAAAATGGAAAACGAAAAAGAGAGAGAGAGACAACGTTCGCAGCGTCGTACGACAGCGGCTGCGAAGTGCGCACGCTCGCTCTCGACCCTACGCCTTCGGTCGGTCGGTCAGTCAGTCAGCCAGCAAGCTTGAGTCACTCAGTCTCGATAGGATCGCCTGTTGGGTGATACGCGCCGGCGACACGCTCCTGGCGCACGGCGCAGTAACACGCGCGGGCATAGCGACGGGAGCGCTCGCGCGCGCGCGCGACCTCGATCGCGTGTAATTCCGCGTAGTGGTGTGCCTCCGGCTATTTTTTCCTACTTGCCTGGCTGTCCCGCGAGGGAAAACGCGCCTTTTTCCCCGTCCGGAGAAAAGGATCTCGCAGGAGGAGAGAAACCGCTCGCTGTGCGCATCCAGTTTGTTCCGCGATTCGCCTATTATGAACGCAGCGCGCACCGCGTGAGAGCGCGCAGTGCTGAATCCGAGAGCGAGAGAGAGAGCACCTTACCATGTTGATCCGTGCAGCAGGCAAGTGTATCTATTACTGTCTCTCTCTTTCTGCACATCTGTCTCTCTTTATCTCTCTCTCTCTCTCTCGTTTTCCCCTCTATCTCTTTTCACTTCCATCTCGCTCCTCCTGTCTCTCTGTCCCGTCACATTGTCCTACGATAGTTTAATTATAGCCACGCGGCCTGTACGAGCCTAGGCTCTCCCAAAATAATGATTGGATCAGCGTTGCATCCCTCCTCGCGCTTCTCCTCTCCCCCGGGACACTTGCCCGCAGTGTTTCTGGACGTGCCCTCACGTACGAACAGCTGTCGTTCCGGGATTCGCAGACTGTGTCCGTGGAAACTGCTTTCCAACGCAGATGTTGACTTGGGTACACCGTTCTTCCGATCATGCTCGCCGGAGCACAGCCATGCGTATATCGCTGCGATACCGCATATCGATGCATAAACTCAATTGTCTGTTCAAGCATCGGATACACGTTAGGGATTATTTAGAGAGTGTTTACCTTTCCAAGAAGATCCCAGGAAGATAACGAGAGACAAGGGCCCGTATTCTGAACATTTTTTTTATCGATAAAGGTATCTCTAAGAGTGGTTTAGGAAGTCCACTCAATTGGCCAAGAAGCCACAGTTTTGAGGCGCTTTTATCGATAAAAGAGAATTCAGAATACGGTCAAAGGTTACCCTTTTCGATAGATTAACACAGTAGCAGCAGATAGAACGGTTGTTACCCTTACTTTATCTTTTATGAGTTTTACAACACATCTCGTATCTCCTGAGAGAAACTAATAAACGAGTTCTCCTATTGGACTGTGGATGTGTTTCGAACTTATGAAAAGGAAAAAAAGTGTCACAATCTTTCTGTCCATCAATTTATAGGTCAAATTTCCCACTCTGCTCTCCCTAGCGATATAAAATGCGTCACAAACTCTAGATACTCAAATTGCCTGTATTACTTCACACGTGTTCACTGATCAATCATTTGTATCTTAGATGGCTGAAAGTCGTTATACCGAACATTGATAGTCATGGAACAGTATAATAACATGACCAGTGAAAATATCAACATAAGTGATATCCGTGAGTATCAATAATACGTGTGCATTTTCACATGCTTGTGATTGCAATAATGCATTGTGGCGTATCTAACGAAATATGCTTGTCAGTCGAGGTCATCCAAACTACTGATCCTGGTTCCATGGCGACCATAACCATGGATAATGAACAGCCGTACGTTAAAATCATCGAGCAGCCTGCCAGTAAGGCGCTTCGATTTCGCTATGAGTGCGAAGGCAGATCCGCTGGCAGCATACCTGGTGCCAACAGTACACCGGAGAACAAAACTTTCCCCAGTATACGAGTAAGTGACAATTATCCGATAACTCTCGGTCGCTCCTCCCGCATACTTACGATATTTCCGCAGATTATAGGTTACAAAGGTCGCGCTATGGTGGTTGTATCTTGCGTGACGAAAGACGCGCCATACCGACCTCATCCTCACAATCTTGTCGGCAAGGAGGTGTGCAAGCAGGGCGTTTGTACAGTGGAAGTTCCAGCGGGCAATATGATCGTGACCTTTTCGAACCTGGGCATTCAGTGTGTAAAGAAGAAGGACATCGAAGAAGCGCTGAAAGTGCGCGAGGAGTTGCGCGTGGATCCATTTCGAAGTACGTAGCCGTTTCCCCCGTCGAGTTTGTGTGTTAAAACCGATCACTAAGATTCCCCATCGTCACAGCTGGCTTCGAGCACAAGAAACAGCCGACTAACATAGATCTCAACGCGGTGAGGTTGTGCTTCCAAGTCTTCTTGGAAGGCTCGCGGAAAGGGAAATTCACCAAGCCACTGGCGCCAATCGTTTCCGACCCAATTTACGACAAGAGTACGTATAACGTGTCTTGATTCGCGATCAAAACATCCGCTCACGGTGCGTGCTGCTTATGCGCGTTTCAGAAGCGATGTCCGATCTCGTGATCTGCAAGCTGAGCCACTGTAGCGCGCCGGTGGCCGGCGGTATGGAGATGATATTACTGTGCGAGAAAGTCGCGAAGGAGGACATACAAGTGAGATTCTTCGAGGAGGACGACGGGCAACTACTCTGGGAGGGATTCGGTGACTTCCAGCCGACGCATGTACATAAACAAGTACGTGAACGATCGTTACTCGCGGGCAATTAATTCCACCAGCGTTCGCGGTACACACTACGCGTCATACATGCCGTTGCATCTAGGGTTACGCAATTTTCGACCTTTTATGCGAGCGAGTCTGAAAATCACCTCGGCGCAGAATGCTAAGACGATGTTTTACGCCCTAAATCTTCATCTAAATGATCACGCGCTTACTTTTTTCTTATTATACAACCGTCATCAGTCACCACCGGCAGGAACGGCTTTCCAGTTTCTCAGACCTCGTCCACACTTGAGACACACGAAACAGTTATGCGTTATTTACGAACAAAGACCACTGTCTTAAATCGATAAGTCAGCTATTCCGCTAAGGTCCCGATCTAGGAAACGATGAAGGCATACGCGAGACGCAACGTGTGTACCTCGCGGGCGCCTGTGTTACAACGATCACACTAACGTCTCCTCGCAGACGGCGATCGCGTTCAGGACGCCCACCTACCGCATGCAGCAAGTGGAGCAGCCGGTGCAGGTGCACATCCAGCTGAAGAGGCCGTCGGACGGCGCGACGAGCGAACCGCTGCCCTTCCAGATGCTGCCGCTGGGTACAGGTAGGCCCGCCTTCTGGTCTTTGCGGAAAGCATTCGCCAGGAAGAAGGCGGATTACAGCACCTTCAGTAAAATCCTGGCTACCGAGACCGCCCTGCTTTCCAATGTTTCCGCGCCGAGATTCCCGCGTAATATCGACGAGTTCAATAACAACGATCTCGACGCGAAGAGATCGCACGGCAAGATCTCGGCGTTGCGCGCCCTGAACGACCTCTACAACGTGAGGAATCACACGGACGCGTGTAACGGCGACCTGAAGGCGCTGATCAGTCCCGCGCAGAGCGTAGACCACCAGACCGCGAAGGGTGGGACCGTGTTAGATTACGAGAACAACGAAGTGACAGTAATTCCCGAGAATTGCCGCGGCGCGGAGAACAACATCGGCAAACTGTACGCGCCGCTCGCCGACAATAATCTGGAGAACGAGACGTTCACAGCCGTTTACAACAAGCCGGGGATCGAAGTGCCTCCTCACGCGAAGCCCGACGAAGCGTTCGCGTCGAAAGATCCGGCCAAGATCGGCGGCAACTCGAGGTCCGACTGGTTCGACTACTCGGAGATCGGCAAGTGGGTGCAGAAGGGACAGGCGTGCCTGAAGGAGAAGACGAGCAACGAGACGACGGAGCTGAAGGCCGACGAGACGGAGGGCGGCAACCGATCCTTCAACGAGTTCCTGTCGCAGGTGGCCGAGCTCGACCAGATCTACGCCGACACGCACACCAAGTTGGTGCAAGCGGCTCTGGTGGAGCCGACCAGCGTTCATCCGCAATCGATGGACGTGGACGTATGCGACAACCAGACCTACACCAGCCTGCAGATGGCCATGAAGAATCCGATCGAGCTGTTCGACATCGTCGACGATCGGAAGTACGAGGACATAGCCGTGCCGAAGCAGGACGCCGAGGTACCCGTCTCGCCGCCGCCGCCGCCGCCACCGCCGACGACGACGACGACGACGTTGGCCGCCAAGAGAGACGTGACGCGCGAAGCGGAGGAACGGCTGCCGCCTTTACCTCCGAAGCGAATACGCAAGATGCCGTCGATGCCGCTCCTGCCGCGGCCGATATCCGCGCAAACGCTCGACTCCTCCGAGGCGCCGCACAAGAACCTGCCGTCCCTGCCCGACACCCTGGCCAAGCACTCGAAGCAGGGACTCTTCTCCAAGCTGTTCGCGAAGAAGAGCAAGAAGGACAAGTGCTCGACGCCGAATCTAAGCATGGACAGCGACTCCTCGCTCAACACCTCGTACTCCTCGCCGAAGAGCTCCTCGCAGCTGCCGCGTCCCAGTATGACCAGCGTCACGAGCGTCAAGTCCCTGAGACTGGACGACGAGGACGAGGACGGGACGCCGCCGTACGGCGCGGATCTCACCGAGGCCGAGCATTACGCTCTGTACACGACGATGGCGCCGCACGCGACCGCCTCCGAGTTCGACGAGTTGTCCTTCTACTACAGTCTGGTCGAGGGCGGGAAGATACTGACGGAGGGGAAGGAGACCAGCCCGGCCCAGACCTAGGAGGCCCTCCGTTCTTTCCGTTCGCTCACCCCCGTTTTCTTAGCATACTGCCAAGTTGAACGTAACGCCCGATTATAGGGTGTCTATTGTTGTTCTCTCCGTTCGCTCCGGCGATTCTCGCGGAGCGTGAGAGGTGTTGTGTTGCATTGCAGTTTATAACCCTCGATTGATTACTGTCACTTCTGTTGTCGAGCGTAGAGACGAGTCGCGCGCTCTATAACGTGTCTGCGTGTCTACACCCGACGGTTTCCCCGAGGGGATCAGGAACTGTATTCTCCTTGAGAGGAGACACAGAGTTCGCCACTTAGAATACACTTGATTATTATCTTGTTAATTATCTTTCCTTATCGGCCATATCTCGACGCATTTATTACTTGAGTGTGCAGATACCCTAATCTAGTCGAATCTGCTAGTCGCTTAGTATGTTTTTTCTATGGTTTTTACAAGTGAGACATTAACTTGAAGAGATATCGCGCGTTACTTATAGATATATTTATTACCAAGCGATACATATATATCGATCAATCTCTCTCTCTCTCTCTCTCTCTCTCTCTCTCTCTCTCTCTCTCTCTCTCTTTCTTCTCGTTCTTTTTCTAGTCAAGCCTCCTCGATGCTGTTACATTTTCGTATACTTTTGATACACATTTTGCTTTACCACCTGTATCATGTTGTTAAGTTTTGTACGGTGCTACGAGTATTTATCGAGCTATTGTCTCGCTTCACTCGCGTTTGTTTACGGACCTATGACTTGATAACGTCTCGAAAATACGACATTTGGCTGTAAGCGGAGGCTCAAAAAAATTGTCCAGAGTTAAATCTATTCTCTCTCTTTGTAGCTTTATAAATGTTACGGTCAAGATCCAAAATCCGCCCCTCTTTCGTTTCGGCTTGTTTTTCTTCCCGGTACGCTATATAATTATTGTAGACCTTTTACATTTACCTGGCCATCGGCGAAATTATTTAGAATTTGATGGCGGGCCGGATACTTCGCTACTTGGGCTTTGGCCGTAACACGTGTTACTAAGGTTAGGGGAGATATCTGTAAGATTCAAATACACGAGGCCTTTTACTTCTACTTAGGGTGTCTATAACGCGTTATGTTACCCGAGTCTCGATGAATAATGTACAATCATTTGTAGATGATATGGATTCGTTAAGGCGAAAGAGACAAAAGTTTAGTAACAACCCAAGCGCGCTAGTTTTCAAGCATGTAGCGGAAACCGAGAAGCGTGAGTATATATACGTACATACATATATATATATATTTGCAAAATTGTTTATGATCTCCTACAATCTCTCCCCGGGATTGGGTGGTGGAATTGTAACGGACGGCATCCGTACCCCCTTCGATACATCGCATTGCATCGTCATGTATCGTCGGGATGCGTCCGAATTTGTAAAAAAAAACAAAAGAAACGCCCGTACGCGCTATCTTTCGCAGCATCTGTCTATCTATTTACATCACGTTTCTCATTGAGGGAATCAGTGCCAAGCTAATTTCCCGCAACTTTGACACGCAGTCCTTCGACTCCTCCTCCCCCTCCTCTGTCTGTACTCTGTAATCGNTTTTCCCCCTGGTACCCCCCCCCCCCCCACGTTTACTCTTCGCAGGGAGGAATTGTATACGCTTTTATACATGCATATGCGAACCAGAGGCCTTTAACGAAGATGAAACTTGTGCCGGAGTCTTTTTGTACGCTCTTTGACTGGCCTATTTTTTTGGTACATTTGTTAATAATTGTTACAACTAGCAAATTTCTTGGGGGATGTTTCTCACGTTGGAATGATGAGGCAGGCCAAGTTGGAGAATAGTCGCAGTATTTGTGCGAACGACTGTACATTTTTCCCCCTCCCCAAACGATCGCTGTTTAATCGTTCTCGAAGCTCATCATGGTACTAACCGCCT